GTTCTGGGGCTAGCTTTTTAAATAGCACGTTTAACACTGTAATGACATACCTTCCTTTGCCCTTTTAAAACAAAAATTATAAGACACATCCTTTCCTCAGGAAGATACAGTTTGATCCCCAAAGCAGAAAGTAAATACCATACTTCTGTCCTAAGTCCACACTGCATGATAATTTAAAAAAATCCTAAATTCTGTATTTGATAGTTTAGATTGCTTAATGTCTACTTTTCTTGTTCTGATAGAAGCAGACTAAATAGCTTTCTTAATGCTGTGAAGTTTCTTTTTTAATTAAAAGAAATATCAGCATCATACTAAACAGAAGTTGTATTTGGTAAATGGTCAAACACAACTTTTTGAAACAAGTCTAAATGCAACTTTCTTTGTTCTACATTTCATGTCCAAAGTACATGATAAGCTGTTAATTTGCCATTCAGAGGTGGAGCAGTTGCACTACATACATATACATGCTTCAGCTGCAGATTTTGAAGCTGGATGCATGTCCTGCATTATTCTTGGTTTACAGATGTAAAACTGACTAAATCCAGGAACGACCTTTTCCAGCAAAGGGCTCAGACAACTACTGTGGGACGTGGGGCAGAGTTTGGGCTTTTGATCTCACAACTGCAACCCTCTGTTTATCTGTAGGGTTAATCTGAGGAGGTATAAAATACACAAATCCTATTCCACCCTGCCTTTCATCCAACACCTGTTCAGCTATAAGACACTGACAGAGACTGGAACATTGAAGGAGTCTGGTAGAGCTGACAGCTGCAAAGTGTGTTTTTATGGCAGCATGAGGTTTCCTTGGGCAGGGGCACAGGACTGGTTGGTCTCAGAAGCTCTCTCCAAACTAAACGGGGCCGTATTTCTGGGTGGTTTCACTACTGAAGGCAGAGCACTGCTCCTGTGATAATCATGTTAAAAAATTGTTAAAATCAAGAGGTAAATACACATCAGTCATTTCCATACCCATTCCCCTTTACTGTAAATTTTGTAAAATTCCCTTTTAATGCCACTGTCCTGCCTCTGCTTCAGTTGGTCGTTTGAAAAGAGGTTCTAACTAGCACTGTGAAGGGCAAAGAGTTGCTATCCACAGTCTCCAGTAACAGATGGAGGCCTTTAAAAGCCAGTTTGCTCTGGGCATTAAACATGCTGGAGCTGCAACATTTGATTCTTTCTCTTTTGGAGAGAGTAAATGTGTCAGACTGGAATATAACAGGCTTTGGTCTTCCATGGCTATGAAGAAGTACAAAATCTGTCCACTGGTGTTAATAACTGACTATAAAGATATATTTTAAAAGGTGCCTGCCTGCAGCTATAAATATAAGAAAGTATCTTAGAGGCCTTTATATATGAAAAGAACCTTTCACAAATAAAAATCTTTGCCATCAGAAAATGATGTCTTCAAAATGGCTTCATGGAATCATGGAAGATTATGTGAGAGATAATGAAGGCATCACATTTAAATATTCTTCACTTTGATACTTTCTCTTCAGCTTTTGATGATCATCCTTTAAGGTTTTTCAGATCCTAATCTTCTGAGAGAGATTTGCGATGAAGAGATACTTGAAAAGGCAATTTTATTTCTTCTCTGTGTGTCATGTTGTCTGGAGCTGCAGTTTCACTCCAGAGTGTACATAAGGTCAAATCCTGACCTGCTATTCAAATAGTATGTGGACTCTGGATTCTAACAGTGCCCCTGGGATTTAAGATGTACACCACATTATTTTGCCAGGTTATTTTGCTGCATTGGAATATATATTTCATGAGATATCTTTATATGTGTTAAATATAATCAAGTTCCTTTTTACTTCTTTCCATCAGTCAGGCAGTATTTTCTGATGAGGAAACCTTGCTGATCATTCCACATGCCACTGTAAATAAGGCTATCCAAACAGTGGACTACGTCCAGTAAGTGGAAGTTGCTGATACAGAATAGTTCTGGTAGCACATAGGAAGGAAGCTGAGTATATCAAATGGCAGAATGTACCTTTTTCTTAAACAAAGCCATACTAATATGCTTATCAGTATGTTTCAGAATACTTTCCTTGCATAATATGCACTGATGTACAGGTACTAAAACTGAAGTAGAGAAATTTTAAGACGACATGGCAAAGTAGGATGTTAGCATTTTCTGTTTTTAGCTGGACTGGTTGTGCATGGTTGTGCACATTTTACAAAGGAAGAATGCTTTGGGAAGAACTTGCCGGTTTCTTTACATCCGATTTTATCACATTATCAAATATTGATACAGAAGATTGTGAAGAATATGCTATTAGAAGAGTTAGTGCAAAATCATTTAGTAAGCATTTTCCTTCTTGGGCTTTATTCATCCACAGGAGCCCAAAGGTGAATAAAAAATGTTATTTTTCTGTTCCCATGGGCTGTCTTTTATAGTGGCCAGAATTGTGACTGTATGGTGAAAGCCACTTTGATGTTCCACGTGTTTTGCAGCAAGAGGGTCATTAATGACATATGGCCTTTTGTGATGGCGATGGAAACTAAGGCTCAACCAGTCCCTTGTCTCTCACCTGTTCACAAGTAATAAGCAGGCTGTGATAGAATTCCGGTGGTAGCAATGAGGAAAGGAGAATCTTGTCTCCCACCTGAACTGAGTACAAAGGTGCTTTTCCTCCCCCTGTGTATCCATTCCACCCTATTCCATGCATGCCTGGGTATGGAGTAACCACAGATCTTATCCTTATGCTCTTCTTTGGAGGCATGACATCCTTTTTTTTCAAGCTACCTACGACTGATGATATTTTCCTAGTCCGGCAACTGCTGAGTTTATATTTTATTAGGCAAGACCAGTTGCCTTCCATGTGTTTAGCTGAACTTGTGTTCCTGATTCCCTTCAAGACAAATTTTTGGGTTATATGGACATATGGAAATGTGACCAGAGGAGGCACATCTGACTTTAACTTGCCATAAGCTCACAGAAGAGTCATATGAATTTTCCTCAAGGATACAAAGAGCATTGAAATTGAAGATTCACAGGGTAAAAAGATTCCAGAGTAAAATGTTCTTAATTGTTTTAAGAAAGGGGAAATTGAACTTCTAAATGTTCAAAACCCCACAGTCTTTTAAGGGATTGTAAATCACTGGGGTGCTTTACAAAAATAATTTCACTGTAACTTGAATTTTAATTGCCTGCCCCATCCTTTTACTGTCATGGTACCTTCATCATCTCTTTTTTCCTGAAAGGGAGTGTTGCTGTTGTTCTTTATTTTAAGAAATCCTCTGAAATTTTTCCTGCAGTGCTGCAAAATTTCAGGGAGGGATATGTTTTAGTATTCTGTGTTATTAGTATTTTTTATATATCTCTGTAATTTTAAAAATATGAAGTTTTAATGAATGTTCTTCTCTAAACCCTGGACTTTTGCATTTCTATCCTGAGAAACTGAAGATAGTCAATGCCAGGTGCAGCCAGAATACTGCTGCAGCCCCACAACATATCATTTTTTTAACATTATTCAAATTAGGCTCTGCACTCATAATTCTGTTGTTTCCTTTATTGCTGTTGTAAAGCAAATGGTTCTTTTATACAAATGTTATCTCCTGGCTATTAATTCAGCAGTTATTTTGGATTATGGCACTCCTGTTAAATTTAGGAATGTAAAACCTCATAAATATTTAAAAGTTTAAGACTGACGTATGAAGAAATTGTTTTTGACTTGCTTTGTTAATATCCTGTTGTTCAATTTGTAATAGATTTGGAATATATTGTTATTTCTCCACTGTTTGACAAATGGAAAAACAATTTTAGAGTTGAGCAACTGCTTCAAGTGTTCTACCTTGAATTGCAACAGGCTGATAAAAGTGTTGGTTTTCAGAAAAAATAGCAAGGAAAAGATCTGGTTTTTCTTTAAGAGGCCAAAAATTCTGAAAGTGTTAATTAGATCCCACTTCAAACTTAATGAAAATGCAGCAGTAGGTTTGCAATGATTGTTTGATAAACCATTTCGAGAATCAAGTGCTTCTCCTTCAGTCTGCTATTCAAGCTTTTCACTAAGGAGCTAAGGAGTATGCTGTACAAATGTGTTTCTTCCCCAAAAACCAATTATATGGAGTCTTATTTCTATCCAGTGAGTGTGTTCATAGACTTAATATTAATCTGCATCTCCAGTATCCCCCAAGTCTTTGAAGAATAACTGAATGATAAAAAAGTCATAATTTTTGTAAGATTGCTGAAGGTCTGGACAGCACCATCTCAGGGCCAGCATTCCTGCTTCACACCTAAGCTGGCTCATGCAGGTGCTGCCACTGAGCAAGCTACAGCACATCTCTGTGTTCAACTAAATACATCAGCCAGGCCAGCACACGTTCCTGTGTGTGCAAGAGCAGCTCATTCCACTTTTACAAACAGAAGTCCCTATTATAGAGACAAAGCAAAATGTATGGCTTTTACTGTTGTTTTATTTACTGACTATAAAATCAGCATGTTGAAAATTCTTTATTTTACTTTGGAGTGTACTTCTGCTAGACATGTCTTGTATTTCCCTTCTTCTGGTTCTGTGTGTGCATAGTGAACAGTGTAAAGCAAAGGGCACTTGTATGCTTATGATTTTGAAGGCATTTGGAGGAAGAAATTCTGCAGAGCAGTATATTCACTTTGCATTTGTAAATGGTAGCAATTAAAACTCCCAGCTTCTGGCTATCCAGATGTTTCTTGCATTACAGCACTGTAATTTGCATTGGAATATATTGTGTTACTGCAGTGGCTGTAAAGTGGTCAGCTTTCAGTCTAAATGCTGTATCAGGGCTCCAGTTGGAATGGTGAGCATATTTCCTGCTCATACCAGGTTCTTCTCCTTCCCACTGTTTCCACACTCTGTTAGCTTGACTTGTTTGTGTTTCTCAGATGAAGACTTTTACTGCTCAGCATTTGAATCAAGCAGGGAATGTATCGGCAGGTCAGAACTGATGTACGGTTTGGTTCTTGTAAGAGTGAATAAAAGGACGGAAGTTTTGAATCAGAAATTTCCCTTTGGCATTTTCAGGCAGCAAACATCCCTCTGGTGTCAGAGCTTGGCATTGATGACATCCATTTTGATGACTTCTCGCTCGATGTGGATGCCATGATTACTGCAGCCCTGCGGATGTTCATGGAACTTGGAATGGTTCAGAAATTTAAAATTGACTACGAGGTAACCATCTGCGCTGCAAATATCTGCTGCTTTTGTCTTGGCACTGCTCTGTCCATTTGTACACATTTAGTAGCCCTGCTCCAAACTGCACTTTGAATTTCAGACGCTGTGTAGGTGGCTCCTGACGGTGCGGAAGAACTATCGAATGGTCCTGTATCACAACTGGAGGCACGCTTTCAACGTCTGCCAGCTGATGTTTGCCATGCTCACTGTGAGTACCCAGCCACACAGCCCCCAAGAGCTTTTACTGCCACACTGCCTAACCTGTCTAAACATTTTCCAGCATTCCATTTCTTTTCTAGTTATTATGCTACTCATTTCCAATAGCAAAGCAGACAGAATTTATTCAACTTAAGGCAGCACATATTTGGCAAAACCTTATAGTGTTTTAGTGACAGTGATATCATAGGCACATTAAAGTGACTGAAAACAGATGGCAGTCTTGGAGTGCTCTTGTTATTACAGATCTTGATCTTATGAAATGTTTTTCTTTTGGAACTCTTTGATTTGACATTTATTTCAAACTCCTAATTGGGAAGTACAAAACCAAGGATTAGAATCCCAAAGTACTTATTATGTTGATATTTATTACCTCCTTATCCAGCTTAATCTAAATAGTTTTAGAAGATATTGCCTCAAAACATTTGAAAATTATCTTCCAGCATAGTGATCTAAGTGAATCTTGAGTCTCCACTGGACATTGTTAACACTTAGGGATTTTATTAGCATGTATCTCCAGCAGTACCTGTAGCTCCTTTAGCATACAAGTAAATTCTACTTAAATTTAAAGTAAATTCTGCTGAAAGTACCACTAGAACAAGCATACTGCTCTCTTTCCCTACCCCCCAGCAACTTCAGTGCAGGAAATAACCCATGTTTGGCTAACTCATTCTTGTAAATGTACCAACAAAAAACTCAGGGGTCCTGAATGCCAGAACTTCGCATGTTGGGCAAGAAAAAGAGACTCTGACTTCCCCTAGCAGGTGAAGATGTCATTCTAGTGCTTGGGCAGTGCCAGCAGGGTGGGTGTGTTTCTCTGAGTGTTGATGGAGGCATAGTGAAGCTGTATGTTGCACCATGAGACAAAGGAAAGGAAGACATCCAACGAGAGAACTCTTCCTCTGGGCATGAGGCTGCTCAGCTGCACAGAACATTGTTTCAGCAGGTGCTTGCTGATGCTCTCTAAGGAAATTCGGTGGTAAGGCCTGGGTGTAGCTAGTTTTTATGGTTTTATAAATTTGACATGCATTTTTTCCCAGTTTTAGACAAAGGAAAAGCAATTTATTCTGATGAGCATAGGCAAAGGCAGGCAGCGGCGCTGGGTGTGAATGGCAGTAATTTCTGCCGGGGGGAGCCCCCAGCCCCAGGCGGCACCCCTAGGTGGAGCTGCGAGGCCGGGTTTGCGGCACGCTGCTCTGCCGGGGGCACCGGGCACCGCCTTCCCGGCTGGAGTGCCCGCCCTGGGGCCGGCACAGAGCGAGCGGGGCCTGCTGCTCCAGCAGCCACCGACTGATGCTCTGACCGTGGCTCTCACGGCGCCATTTCAGAGCCCTTTCAGCAGTCAGCACAGGGGTGCAACTGTGCGAGATGTGATCCAGCGTTTTTAAGCCAAGTTTGTTTCCTTGCCCACACTCCTGGTAATGAACAGAATGAACAATTCCAAGTGCAGGGCTGGATGTGAGTGGCCACAGCACTGCAGTCTCCACACATCCCACCCCGCTTTGCTCTGGCTCTGGCTGAGAACAGAATAAGTTCAGTGCATGATCTGTTTGGTCTGCTCTCCCTTCCAGATACAGGAACATTCTTTTGTAGAAAAAAAGACACAAAAAGGAAACTTGACATTAGTAATAATCCAAAGCCTGCTCCTATTGCATTTGTCTTGGGGATACCATCCAAGTTAGTGTGTGCCTTCTTTTCTCACTGGTAAAAGGGCAAAATTCTTAGACAAACCCCTTGAAGGGCTTATCAGAGCCCTTCTCTGCCACTCAAGAAGGCACTGCTTTGTGCAGTTATTGCAGCTTATTTCTGATTTCTCCATGACAGTGAGCAATGTAGACTGCCCCACAAACAGAGACCAGTAATTCTATTTTAGGGCATTTTCAGCTAGGATTTGCCATAGTATAGTCATGTCTAACCTATAGTGCAGTAGCCTCTAAGGGCCCCACCCTACTCCCACTAAATACACAAGGAAAATTCAGCTGTGTTGAACAAGCCAAACAAGAGAAATTCAACATAGAGCAGACCATTGTTTCACTCCTGGTAAACTCTGCCTTTTGCATATCTAAAGCATGTTCCTGTATGTATAAGTATGTATTCTCTCTCCTGAACAATCATAAGCCCAGTTCTGCAAGCTGTAGTTCTGTATTCAGATGCTCAAGAATTCTGAAGGCAGCACTGCAGCAAGGCTGCTCCTGCAAGTTAAGGGAGTACCTGAGAGTAAAGTGCAGGATCAAGCCCAGGCTTCATTATCAGTGCCTTTGCCAACACAGTTCACATTGATACTTATTTCAAAGGGCAAAAATGAACAAGTAAGCAATACCAAATTAAAATCCCATCTGGTGCGCTAATAACAAAACATATAGATGTGGGGCAAGGTATAATGAATGCAATTCATTTCCTCACATGAAAGAATGACCTCCATAACTCACTGGAGACTCTGCCACTCATGAGTTATGGGTCATTCCTTTTCTGGTGAAAATAAATTTTACTGCACCATCGTCTACAGCCATGTTTTTTTTTTCCTCCTGTAAATTCAGAAATGGAGAAATGTAATCCTCTGTTTACCTGCATTATGTTCAAAGAAGATATCTCCTTACTGTAGTATTGTTTTAAATGAAATATTTTTACTACGTGCCATATGCTATATTTCTTTCATATATTCAGTGACAAGACTTTTCATTAAATAAAATGTTGCATTTATTTTTGAGATATTGCTACTGTTAATAAATTCCTTAATTGGTTTCCCTGCATTTGCAATACAGGTTGAATCCTTGAATTTAATCAAAGTTTGGATTACACTAAAGAATATTTATTACAACATCAATTTCATATTATAAAACTTCCCTTTTAAGTTATCTTAACTTAGCCATTAATATTTTCTCTAGACACATCGTGTGTTGTCAGTTACAAACTATTCTTAATCCCTTTTTATAACTAGATCTTTATTACTATTTGTTATAGAAGAGCTGTGTTTAAAAAAATAAAAAGAGAAAATGCTATTTTTAGAGGATTTTTTTCTGCTTGGGTAGATGTTACCAAAACAAGAACAACAGTAATGCCACTAGAAATCAGGTGAACCTCTTTCCTAATATCCAAGTTATTTTGTACACTGGTGGATTCTACACAAAATTAATTAATCTTTTTTTTCTTCATGCTTGATCATCTTTTCTGCTATGTAAATTTTAAGGAATTATAAAGTTTTTGTAGCAAGTCTTGCACTTCATCAATTCCCACTGAAGTGCATTCCTGAGCACCTGGGGGAGCTTGGCTCCCTGTACTGTTTATGTAGTAACTGTGGCCACATTTCAGACTGTCTAAACAGAGGCTACTTAGATTTGAATGTGCATTTCTCTAAGTAGAATTTGTGGTCTTTGGGGTGACTAGCAGAGCTTTCACAGAGTATTGCAGCAATTCACTGGTGTTTCTGAGTGTAAGTTCCTACCAAGGAAGGGCAACAAGTCCCCGTGTCACTTAAACTCTCTTCTTGCTAGTGGGTGAAATTATGCCCCTTTGAAAATCACTGATATTTGGGGATTCTTACGTGGTATTGGTGTTCAGCCTTGGTTTGATCCTCCAATACAAATGTATTTTGTATCTCTTGTATATAATTTCCTTTCATGTGGCTAACTGAGGAGTGTCACTGGAGACTGACACTGTGAAAAGACAAGTGTTATGATTTTCCAGCTCAGCCAGTCATTTTTGCAGGTACTATGCCCTTCTGCTTGTGAAGAACCAGGTTGTTTCTGCCATGGGTAAGAGGTACAGCACCAGTGGTGCCCCACAGAGGCTCTAGCACCTCCTCCAGACAGGATCTGTTCAGGATGCTTAAGGTTAGCAATAGCAGGAATGGTTTTCTCTCTGCCATGGCCCCGTTCAGGCAGGAAGACTGCTATCACAAGTATCCAAGAGGAGAAGCATAGTGATAAAAAAAGGTTTCTGTGATTATCTCCCCCATTCATATAGTCATGTCTGAGCTGCTAGTTGGGAATTTCATTGCATCTATTTTCAAATGCCTCTCCCAAATTCAAGTGGGTATCTCCAGCAGAAGTTTGATACGTTTCCTTTTTAAATTGTGCCACTTAATTTCAAAGTGCCAGATTGAAAAAAAATCTAATAGTTCATAACAGTTCCACAGAGTATATTTTATCTGGGTTCTTTTAAAGAACCAACTTAACATGTCAGCTATCTCTGACAGTAGGGATTGACTAAGATGGTCATCTCAGGATTGAAGAAATCAAAGTACTTCTCTAAATAATAATTTCAAAATTTTATCAGTTTAGTTTTGGGGTTTTTATTTCTCTGATTAGAAAATCCAGTTCCTGTCTCAGTTTGCAGCTACTGGTATTTGTTTTCAGCTCTTTTTGCCTTTAGTGCCTCCTGGCTAGCAGAGAAATGGCATGCTGGAAATGCAACAAAGAGATAATAACAGATCACTCCAAGGACATTATCTATTCTGCTAACCATCTGACATACAGCAGGGAATAGAATATGACAATAAAGCATTTATCTTCTCCTTACTGAAACGTTCATGGTATCAAAACAAAGTTGACTGTTGCTGGATGGACTAACATTACTTAATCCCTTTTGCTACTGATAGTTACAGCTGCTATTTTTTTTTCTCCTCTCAGACTGCAGGATTTCAGGAGATTCTAACTGAAATTGAAATTTTAGCTTTGATTGTGGGATGCTTGTGTCACGACCTTGACCACAGGGGAACCAACAATGCCTTCCAAGCCAAGTAAGCTTTCTAATTCTTACTATTTTAATTTGGTTTTCTTCCACAGGAGAGCAAAAGGTGACCAGGATAAAGAATGAAGCATTAATTTCAAGCCTTCTAGGCCAAGGCCAAGTACTCTTATTCCTGTGTGCAGTGAGGGACTATCCATCTTTATCATTCTCTGTTCCTTTAAGTAATTGCTGGCTTGTCCTTTGTAGCTGGCTGTTGAACTGACACCACATATTGAAATGTGGTGCCAAAACTTGATGTTCTTTTCAGGCTCAGCTATTATTGATTCTGGTTTTCAACCCAGGAAGCACCTAAATTGTCTGTCTGGGTTGTTCTTGCTGACTGGGGTGCATGGCATTAAGCAAAACCTTGTTCTGCTATTGCAGAGAGAAGAAAATAAGTGAAACTGAAATAATGCTTTCACAGAAACCAGGCTGCTGCCCTCAGACACAATGAAGGAGAAGTAGGTTTTCAGAAGGTTTAAGAGTGGTACTTCTAACTGTGTAGGTAGGGGAACTTCTTAGACTAAAGTCAAATCCATTCCAAAATCTGCCTTCCCTGAGAATAGGAGGGACAACAGAAAATGTCTGCAGCAACATCCTGGCCAAGCTGTGAAATAAAGCTGCCAGACATAGAGATTTCTTCAAATCCCTTTTTGTTTTCTTCACTCCTCAGTTCCTCTACAGTCAGAATATGAGGCCCCAAGGTATTCCTGTCCTGCAGATCCCAGTGAGCATTTGTAGCTTTTTTCGTTCTGCCTTACTGCTAATCCTCTGGTATGATTGGGGAGTGGTCAAATGGTTGTCCAGAGATATTTGAAAGGCAGAGTGATGCTGTGTTAGCCTGTTTTGTCCTACTTTTGCAGAAGTACTCTGCTGCAATGTGTGTATGCAGGGGCTGCTGCATTTCTGGGGGCAAGGTGCCTCAGTGACCATCACTCAAACTGATGTTTCTGATGTTCACTAAGCTGCCATTTCCTGAGGTATTGGTGTTGCCATACAATCTCAATGAAACAATGACACTGTCTGGATCTTCAATCACCACAGCAGGGAAAATCAATTGCAGTGCTCAAAAGACAGAGCTCGTGGTGCAAAGGTTACCAAGCACTGCTAGATGCCTTTTTGCAGCTGAGTCTTGAAGAGAATCAAAATAGACGAGACAAATGGCAAGGAAGCTCAGCTGATTGATGTTTATGTTCCCAATTTACAAAAACGAGACCTAAGATTTACATCCTGGCCATTTTAGGCTCTGATTAAATTAACCACTTCTCTGCTGCACCATTATACAAGAGTATCTTTTGTGCAGAGGGATGGCTGAGTTAAAGGTACAGGGTTCAGCATTAGACTGCTATCACTCATACTTGTTGTTTGACAACAGAGTACAGAGAGGAGGCTACCATTTTATGACTCCATAAAGAAACTGCTGAAGACATTTAATGAAAGACAAACATTACCACACATGTATAAAACATCCCTGAAAACAGAAGCTGGAGTTTTCCTAACGCTAACTATGATTTATTCCTCTAACCTGACATAAATTTAAGCATCACATTTTCCTATTTTATCTTCAGTGTTCAATACTGCTGCTCTGTATGATGAAGGTTCAAGAGGTATATGATGGAGGCAATATCACAGTTGTCTCAAATGGCTCTGTTATATATGTCAATATCACATTCTCTAGCGATGATGTTTCCTGGACATCCTTTTCTCTCATACAGCTGCATCTGATAATTAAGTATCAGTATGGTGCAGTTTTATGGTATATGCTCCTAGGAGACTCCTTCTGTCTCTAGCATAATCTCTTTTTCTCATTTCTTTGGAAAGAAGGCCCATCTTGTCACTTTAGGCGGGGTCCCAGAAGTGACGTACTTTGCCTGACCTACTTTGGTACTTGGTGAACAGTGACCATTCTGACAAGCCAGTCCCATTCTCTGCACTTGCCAGCAATTTGCAATTTTATATTATTATTCCATATATTTTTGTCCTTTAAACGTAGAAAACCAACCTGCTCTGTTCATTTTGAATCTGATCTTGGTTTAGACAATAAATGTGATGAGAAAATACATTCTAGAGATATGCTAAGCTTTACTTTTATATTCACTTCTCTCACTTGTGTTTTTTTGTTTACCTTATTATTTGCAATTGGATTTTTTGTTGTTGTGTTTTGGGGTTTTAATTTCAGAGTTTGTAGTTGGCCATTGTAAGCCCTTATGTTTATGTCTATTAAGAATTAAAAATAAAAGGTAACCGGGGAACAGCTGATCCCAGCTCAAGGACATTACCTTGTGTCTTTACTGCACAGTTCTGTGTCTGTGCTGTTGCTGAGGGACTCTGAAAGCTGCATTACAAAATTTCTTGTAGTTCCAGAAAAATCCTTATTCAGCTGGCAATATTTTGCAAAGACTGGAACATAAATGTTTTGTATCTGGATTTAAATTAGTATTTTGATCTCATCAGCTGTCTTAAGTGAGGTTGCTGAAGTGGAGGTGGAGAGAGTGTCTATGTGCTTTTGTCACTAAATTGTCTCTGAAACCTGCTTCGTAAGCAGACGAGCAGGATTTGTTGACTTCCCATGTTCTGTTTCAGGAGTGGATCAGCCTTAGCTCAGCTCTACGGCACCTCTGCTACCTTGGAGCACCACCATTTCAATCATGCTGTCATGATTCTCCAAAGTGAGGTACAAAAGCATTACTATTAATCTCACTGTGAGCTGTTGGGCAGTTTCAGCTGGAGGAAGGAAATACCATGTACAGTACCTTTTTAATGCCCTCTCCTTGAGGAATTATTTATTGGTTACCACAAAGGTCACAACTAGCACAAAATTAAACAACTACAAATGCTGATCACAGAGCCCAGACATTATATCTGTCTCAATCAGCAAGGGGCAAGGAGAATACATCCTAATCATATTGTCAGCTTTTCTCACTCTTCTTACATACATCCTGTTCAGTGGTTTAGAGGTAGCTGAAACAGGTCCTTACCTTTCTCCACAGGTGTCATATTCAGAGTATCAGAACCATTCTTTACTGCACCAATTTAATTTCTTTGGCAGCCTTTATGAAATCAGTATTTTTATTATTTTTTTCATAATTTAATACACTGTGTTTAAAAATTAAAGTTTTTAAAATAAGTAATATCATGCTGTCCAAAGTATACTAATTGCTTTTCAGATACCTGTGAAGACAGAGCTCTTGCCTAGAATATCTTGCATATAACACTATACAGCATATACTACACCATGTATTTAATAACTGAGGAAAGTGGGAGAATGGACATGGAGTCCTTTCAAAAGAACAGATGCATTTTCTTAATTTACAGAGATTGGTTGCTACAAAATGCATTTAGTAAATAGAAACCCAAAACTGCTGTTCATGCAGCACAATTGGAGACCACAGCCTGATCTGCAGTAACTTCTGAAGAGATCTGGAATGTCTCATGATCACAGACAAATGGGAACAGGGTGTTGGCTTTACCTCTGTGTACACTGCCAGGGAGATTTGGCACAGAACTGCACCTCCCCAGACCTTATCTCATATATGTCCTCATACCATCATGATTATAGTAACCCTGTTGCTGGAAAATTCTGTTTTAAGGGCATTTTAAAATTCCTAAGCAGTAGATGGCAGTGCATACTGAATGTGGGCACTACAGGACTAAATACCACCAAAATAAGACTCTAGTTAGAAATAACTTCAATATTTATGTAGGTGATTACCAAAAAAAGACCTGTAATACATTTATGTATGCTAATATATGTGACAATTGTCACAAAGATAATTTATTAAGCTTACATTTAGAGTTTTTCATTAATTTTGTTTCTTTCATCTTATTTTCTACAGAATTTCACAGAGGAATTATAGGATCTCTGTCCTGCTTGTTTTCAGAAATCCAGTTACAAAAGAACCTTCCCCCTCTCAAACAGCAACATCAAATAATTAATTTCCTTTCATTTTGGCCATAGAGCATCTTTCAAATTCTTAATCCACAATCCCTTAAAAAGCAGTCAGTTGGACCCACAAAGGGTGTGTAAATTGCATATAAAATTGTGGTTCTTTAGTCCACATAGGCAAAGGCTGTATACACTGTAGGACAAGACAGTAATGGGCAGAGTGAGCAAAAGGGCTGCTTTGAATGAAAAACTGATTTAGTGTCCTTGACTGCTCTAACAGCAGTTTGTGTGCATGCAAGCAGCAGCACAGATAAATCTATTAGGATGACTACTCAAAAGCTCCAATACACAGCTCCCCAAAACATTTAATAAGATGAGAGATTGAGATGTATCCATAGTTTTTCCCCATAAACTGAGTCTGTGCAGGGTTAGAGTAGAGAGTAAATCTTTACTTGACAGGCTATCATTTCTGCAGAGTTTAGAAAAACATACCAAGTGCTTGATAACAATCATCACCTCTTCTGCCTCAATGTAATCTCAGCAGTATTAGCATTATTATTTCATCATAGTTTTGCCATGAATCAGAAAAGGCTTGTGTTACAGGGCAACAGTAGACTAACAAGTTAGAAAACTTTTTTTAAAACTATATTGATTGTTAGCCCTTTACCTCTTTTATCTCTTTCATTATAGGGTCACAACATCTTTGCTAACTTGTCCTCTAAGGACTACAGTGACCTTATGCAGCTTCTAAAGCAATCGATATTGGCAACAGACCTCACTCTGTATTTTGAGTAAGTATTGGCATTTCTGGTATTTGATGAATGAAAATTCAGAGAACTTACTCTAATGACCTATTAAATACCAATAAGGATATATAATATGAGAAATTAGTGTTCAGCTATGGTTGAAGAGGTTTAGTCTAATACTTAGTATCTTTTAGACTAATACATATATCTCAAGTGTCCAAATAAGTTTTGCTTTAATGTGTAACATGTCTGTATCAACCAAAAGCAAGTGAAATGTTAACTTTATACTTCAAAGCAATTCCAGGAACCAGTTGCAGCTCAGTTCTATAATTTTTCTGTCCCTTCTATGATCATTTCTTCAGGCACATAGAAAATCAATGACATTTGAGAATTCTTTTCCACCATTTCAGCATCTCTAAACATTTGTGCTAAGAAATATTGTGTTTAGTTACAGACCCAGTTACACAGATAATAAAGGAGACGCTTTGCTGCTTTGAAGATGAATTATGCCAATTCATGTCACATGATGAGAATAGTCTTAAAAAGCCTAACTGTGGAGAAGTACACTAGGATGTCTCTCACCCAGATTCTTCCCTTTCCTTGTTTGCAAATCAAATCTCAAAGTAGATTTCAAGCTGGTCCTGTATGTCAAATATTGTTAATTTTTACCAAGCTCATCCCACTGAGGATGTGTGGGAGGATGCACGTAGTCAGAGGAGGAATGGTGTCACCATCACAGTGCACTTCTGACATCTGGCATTAGCAGTGCTGATGTTTCAGTGCACTGCCTTCCCAGTCATGACAATAAGTCATCCTTAGGAATTTTTGTTTGGTGTCCATTAGCATTCTATCCTGTCTGTCTTTCTGCCATGTCTCAAGTGAAATTATTAGAGTTGTACCAGGGGAAGTTTAGCTTAGATATTAGAGAAAAAAAAAATTCACTGAAAGAGTGGTTAGACATTTGAATAAGTTATCCAGGGAGATGGTGGAGTCAGCACCTTTGGAAGTATAAAGGAGTTGTCTTGATATGGTGCTTAGGGGGAATATGGTTCAGGGGTGATGATGGTGGTGCTGGGTTGATGGTTGGACTTGATGACCTTGAAGCTCTTCCATTCTGTGAGATACAAGGACCATAGGTCCTCTTGTCTCATCGTAAATCAACGCTGCAGAAATGCTTTGTGCTCTCAAGGAGGACAGGAGTGACAAGGACTGAGAGGACAGCTGCCCTGGCACAGCTCCATGTGCTCCCCCTGGCCGAGACCCTGGAGGAGCCGGAGGGGGCTCATGGCAGTGCCTTGGGATAGACCCTGTTCAGACCCAGATGTGATGGAGCTCTCTTCCCTTCCGGCCTTAAGCTGAAAAACTGTGTGGTCAATTTGTTTGTCTAGTTCTAGTATGGAGAAATAATGTCCAAAAGGGACATAACTGAATTTCGAGATTATTTTTTCTTACTTGCATAATTGATTTTTCATGCTGCATAAATCAGAAGACTTTTAGCAAATGAGGCCTCTTTACTCAGAAGTCTGCAGATAAATTATTTTTTCCTCTTGTGTTACTGCGATTCATTAATGAGGTGGTAGCTATGCTAGTTTATTTCCAGAAGTGCCTGAAAATCACTCTCTAGAAACATTGGTGCTTTACATTTCTTAAAACCACCCTATGTGAACAGCTGTTTCTACACAAGTACCTAATTTGTTTTTTCAGTTTGCTACGTCGTCAATATTTTTGTAGAGAGGGGAATTCTCATATCAGTGTTCTTGAAATGACTGAATCTAATGATCACAAGCTCCAGGTATTAAAACAGCAACAGAACTGTTGCAGAGCAAGACTTTATGACCTTCTCAAGGCTTTACTTTTATACAAACAAACAAAAAGATGACTCTCACTGAAAGATCAGATGGGAAATAGTTTATAATTCTAGATAACGACACTTGTAGATAATACAAAAAGTAAAAGCATGGAGCCAAAATGAAGTTTATGGAAATTTGTCCAAATGATGTCTTGAGCCAGTGGGCTATAGAGCAAATGAATTTGTTATACATAGGAAAACAACCTCCCTTCGAGGCAAAATGCAGCCAGAGTCAATGTTACTTGAAGACCCTGGAAAATTATTATAATTCAGTTTGTTTCTGGAATTCTGCCATATTATATTTGCTTGTTAACAGAAAACCTCATCATTTTGGATATCAAAAAAACCCAGTAGGAAATGCTAAATTGTTTCATCATACATGGCTGCTTTCGTCTGGTTCAGTCCTTCCTACACTGAAATTTCTCTGTAGAGCTGGACTACTACTTCTCTATCCATTTAAATGGATTTCAAAGAAAATCCTTAAAGCTTTTAGCCTAACATAAGGCCTTGAGATTCACATTTTCAATTACTGTTTATGGATGTCTAGATTTTAAATTTAAATATTTTAGGTTTTTAGGGTGTCACCTTCCTGTGCTTTCAGCTTAAAACATTCTTGTCTGGTTTTTGTTCAGGAACATATGAATTTCTCAGAATATCCAATACTTTAAAATGAAATCTCCTGTTTCCCAAAGTATAAGGGATTAGATATCATGCAGTCATTTATAGCCCTCCTCTCGCTGCTGAATGAAATCCACTATAGAAAGGCCCTGTAGTAGGAGTGACTGGTCATGTATATAACCATGATAGTCAGGGACGAGAATAATGCAACCTGCCCCGCACAATGTTCTGGAATACAGAGTTTCTGGAAGTGTGCATCTCCTTGTATGCAAATATGTACTGGCTGCCATGAGACTGCACTGTCAATAATCACTGTCCAAAGTTTCACTCTAGTTGAAGTAAATGTAGAAAATACAAGATCGCAAACTCTCTCCTGTTCAGGAACCTAACTACATTTCCTCTTGACAAAGAGCACAGTCTCATATGAGATGGGGCACTACACTGTCCCTTAGGATGTAGGTATTTATTTGCTTTCCAGCTTTGATACTCATATGATGTGTCACTGGGGGAAAGTTGCTCCAAGATTTTGTACCTCAGCGTCTGTTACATCTTGGGAAGGATCTGTTACATATTTGTAGTCACATTGCAAGCAGTAAGAGCTGCTTGGAGTCTCAGTGCCATAAAAGATCACAGACTATGATGAATCAGAATTTTGATGCTTAAAGGCAACAATCAAGCATTAATATGTTCTGTCCATCTCACGTTTTGTCCCCGTTTGAGGACATGAAGAAGGTGTGAGAAGACAAACCATGGCACTAAGCAGGGAGACCTAGTGTCCGGTCTGTAGGAACTATGAACTCAAAACAGCAGCAGCTCCTGTGTGTCTCTGTTTCTTTCTGTGTGCTGGAAATAACAAATTGCACAGCTCTGAAAAACCCTTCAGGATATAGAAGTAAAAACCATTTTGCAAGGACAAGAAAACAGAAGCATGTGTGTATTTCTGGGGTGTCTCTATTGTCTGTCTGTCCACTGCTGTAGGTGAGCATTTCATGCTTCCATGGAAGACTGAACATTTCAGAGCCATTCATTTCCTTATTTGTGGAGACCGTAAATCCAATATTGCATTTACTAGGCAACTGTGACATTGATAAGAGACATTTATAGAAGGTGTTCGGAAATTAGTATGTTTCGCTTAAATGGACTGTCAGTGTAACGGCCTTAACAATAATACATGAGGTGCAGTGATTCCGTATCACACAGAGAGCTGTGGTTCTGCTGCAGTGCTGCCCTGGAAGTGTCTTATTTCCGTCTCTGACAATCTGGTTTTTTGCAGGAGAAGGACCGAGTTTTTTGAGCTTGTCAGTAAAGGTGGTTATGATTGGAATATAAAAAACCACCGAGAAGTATTTCGGTAAGCACCGTTTTTTCTTGCTTTCTGGTTATTTCGAAGTGTAGCCATATTTGTTAAAGGAATGTCATGTATTGTGGACTGGAGGATTAGAATAAAAGAGAAAGTATCTTGTTTTAAAAATACAATCCATGCTATAAATACATGGTATGATTTTTTTTCAACATTAGCAAACAGCTGGGATTAATCAACGTGACTTCACCTTCTCCATATCTCCTACACACTCAGTCCTGTTTTCATCCCTTTCTCCCAGCCTCACCAGTTCCTGTTCAGCCCTTCTGCTCTTTTTCCAGAAAGTATCAATATTCTGCCTCTCTACACAAAGATCTTTCCTGTCTGTTTCCCTGATCCCTCTTCCTCTCATCTGTCTTTTTTCACTAGCCATGCACTTCTCTGCTCTTCCAGTGTGTACCTGGGAATTTTCTTATACAGAGTAATCTTCCAGCCCTCAGGAATGCCCTGAGCATGCATCCTATTGAAAACCTCAGACATTGTGGGTGGTTTGAGTAGATCACACTTTGTAGACAATAAAACGTGTGTATTTGCATATGCATGCCTGGTTATGTCTCATTTTATCTGAAATTTCATTAAAATTCTGTTATCTTTTGGTCTTTTGACAAAATATTGGCCATTTTCTATTTTCCATACCATTTCACCCATTCCTAATTTTAGATTCAGGCAATATATTTGATGCTTCATTTTCAGTGCCCTTGTTCTTCATTTAAACTTTCTTAGACTTTTATCTGCATCATGTACTGTACATAAACGCTTTCTACAGCTGAACGGTTTCCTTCTCCTAATGCATATAAAACATGGTTGTAGCTAGATATTAAACTACAGTGGAACCGTATAGCTCACAGTAAATCTTCAATTTTTATTGTAGATGAGCAGTAGAAACTGCTTAAACAGTGTCTGGGATGCCTCCTGTGATTATAGGCTCTCTTGCTACAGCAGTCACTTACAAATAGGCATATAAATTAATCCAGTTGCAGGTGTTATTATGTAATAATACCCTTACTTATATCATGTGAAGCACATGCTTTCTAATATATTATAGGTATTAATGTAAGTAGTGTTAGAAGTATTGCAAAATTAGCAGTTACTCCCTTGCAATATCATTTCTTTTCTACTGTGCAATGCAGAATACCAAAATTCATCATCTTATGTCCTGCAACACATTAGGATTCTGAGGCACAATTGTAAGGTAAAACCACGCTGATGGCTAAGATTTCAAACTTGTCATTCTTTTCTGGAGGAAAAGAAGGTGCCAGGGCTGACATTTTATATAGGTATTATTTATTTATGAGTCCAGAGCAGAGTTGTTTAGAAATTCAACAAAGGTTGATTCAGCTTGTATTGTTCATTTCTGTTTTTCAGATCAATGCTAATGACAGCCTGTGACCTTGGAGCTGTGACCAAACCGTGGGAGATTTCAAGACAGGCAAGTCATGATTAATAGCAGGGCTGGGAGGAGGCGGGACTGGCAGGACAATATTCCCAGGGCCCTGGCTTGCAAGGGACCAAAACTGGAATCAATTTACAGCAGTATTAATGCTATAAAAAAATAGCAGGGGGTTTCTGCAAAAAATGGTTTATTGTGTAATCGTTCCCTGTACACATGCTGCTGCGTGCATCTGGCTTTACAACCTCTCCTCTCACTAACATTTTAAATCCATACCAAAAATGGATGGATTAAACCAAAAAGGCATTTAGCCACATATAGCTGCATTTACTTGTTTCATCCCAAAGTTTTCCTTGGCAGTAGTAGGGTCTTCCCTAAATCAAAAATACCAACAGATTATCTGCAAACTTTCATTTGCATAAAATCTTCAGTAGATATGATAAAAGAAATGTATTAATTTTCTTAAGAATTTTGCAAAACTCCAAGTGTGGTATAGGGCTTTCTTTTACATCCTGTACCCCTGTACTGAGAAACCAACAAATAAAAATTCAGAGTTCTGCTGCTGAGTAGGCTCTTTAGAAATATACATAAAAAATAGATCCAGCAATCCAGCATTGGCAAACAGGTACAATATAAGAAAGCGACCTGTCCCAAAACTCTTGTCCTTTGCCCCATGATTTTCTTTCTAGACATCTTTCTCTACCCAGAAAACCATCCTTAATATTTCCATGCCAGTCATTCTCTGTCCTTCAGTGAGGCCCAGAACAAGCCAGCAGAAGACAGACTGTGTCAGGTTTTGGAGGAACTGACAGCATCAAGAGACAAACAGAAAACATACCGGTGCAGCTGGGTTTGGGTACACAGCTGGAGGAAGTTTGGTGTAACATCAAGTAATAGTTACAAAGATGAGGTGGAAAAGAGAAAACTAGGCCAGATAACTAGACATGCAGGAGCAGGCAGATTCCTTTGACAAGGAAGTATTAGAAGCTGAAAAAATTATGGAAATTACATGCACATCAACTGAATAAAACAAATATTTATGGAGGGAGGGCTTCACCTCAGCTTTCACTTTTGCCAGGTGAGTCTTTTTTGCTTTATCAGCAGACTGTGACAACAGTTCTTTCTAAGGCTATTGCTCTACTTGGCCAGAACATAGTCACCTTGCATGGAAATCAGGAAAGCTGCTTCTATCCTGCAGGGGGAAATTGAGTTACAAGAATTTTCATTGCCACCTGGCCACTACTGCAGTGCGTGCAATCCCTCCTCATTTTTCCTCCTTAACCCAGTTAGCTCCTGCATTTTCATTGACAGCCAAATGTCAGGCAGGGTCTGCTTTCCTAGTTGTGAATCTTTTGTGCTATGCTGCTGAATTAGTGCTGGAGTCTCTGGCAAACTGGGGATTTTTATACTTGTCACTCTTGAGGTCTACAGGTGAAAAGTCCCCTGCAGCTTAGTTATACAGGTTTACTTTATACTGAAAAATTCCACCTGGGATTTCTTGAAGTATTACCCAATTGAGCAGAAGTGCTAGTAAGTCCACAGAGGTAAAACAGGAAATAGCTGAACCTTAACTGTGCCACGAGAAAAAACCCAAACATACTTGAAAAAAAGGAATAAAGGCCAGATGTAAGATGGAAAAATTCAGGAAGAGAAGATTAAAACAGGTAAAGAAAAAGGGACGTAAGGAGAACAGGAACTGAATAGCACTGAGGGACAGGAATGATAGTATGCCTTGATTATTTTTATACAATACACTTAGCAAACACCTAATTGCTGATAAGTTGTTCAATTATTCCTCTTATCTGGGATGTTGATCCAGAATTTTATTAAGATTTAAGAGTACTTTATAACATCACCTACTTCCAAATTATTTTGATACTCCCCATTTCAACTGCAACAAGCTTAGCATTTGTGAATGTTATCTATCTTGCAGTTGCTAAAGCAAGAAATTTAGAGATTTTATGACGTACAGGTTCTCTGCTTGGTTTACTCTCTTGTGTCTAGGCATTATGAAATAATTTCCTAGCTTAAAAGCAATACACTGGCATGACAGGAGCTTTAGTATATGAATGCCTATTCAGTAGATTGGCTTCCAGATTTTTTGCATCTGAAAATGTCGCATGTGCTTATGTTCAAAGCCTCACATATGACAGGAGTACAGTACTATATCAGGCTTCCTAAAATTCCTCTGGTTTCCATAACTAAATTTACTTTTAAGTCTTGTCGTCTTCTAAAAAGCACACACCTCTGCAGTGAATAGAACATTTTCATTCGCAAGAGTCAGAAAGATGCATTTTAACTTCCAACCTACCACTTCTTGATTTTAAATCAAGATTATCATCACAATCTGAGCCTATACTTAGATATCCAGATCCTATATTGATGAAGTCATGGGGAAAAAAATTAAGGCCTAGTAGGGAAAAAAACCCTTTATGAATTCATATTAGATTAAACAACAGAGAGTATTGGTTAATTAAGTTTCTTTGATAAACAAAGTTGTTATTATAGGGCAACAGCCTGTAAATAACCAAAAAGCTCTTGCATGTTTTACAAAGCATTTTTACAAATGTAATAGTGGATGCCAACAAGAAGCTATCATTTTCTAGTTTGGTCTCAGTTCTTAAGTTGTTATAACTGCATTGAATGCTACCTTGGCAGTGCAATGTAATTCCCCAAGTCCCTGTGCCTGACTATGGCTGTTTATGCCCCTTGTATGCCCAGTTCAAAAAACTAATGAACACATGCCTGACGTCAGTCCTGTAAGTGAGGTTATTCACTTCTGTACAGTCAAGCACAGGCTGAAGTCATGGTCTAAGCAAAAACTCATTATCCTAAAGACTGTGTAACAAAAACTCTAATCTTTTATCATTATTTTTATTTTAGGCCGCTGAGCTGGTAACCAGTGAGTTCTTTGAACAAGGAGACAGAGAAAGATCTGAACTCAAACTCACCCCTTCTGTAAGTTTTTTATCATTTCTGAAATAGTTACTAATTTGAATAGAGGAAAAAAATATCATTGGGCTCATTCAGAAAAATGAACTGTATTTTGTACACAAAGAGAAACCTCTGTCCAATAAGGATATGCATTTATAACCACATATGAAATAGCTCTCAGTCAACACAGTCACTTTTGCCCTTTCACAGTCCTTGAGCCCTTTTACTAGTTTTCTGTACCTATTCCTAAGGTTATCCTATCAGTGAATTTTCTAAGCAGCAGGTGTTGGGTTTAATACACCGAAGTGAAGTAAAAACTCACAGCTACCTATGGAAATCAAAACTGCCAGATTTACTTTGTGTTGCAGCTGTATATCTGTGTTACTTGAAATGCATTTCTATAAGTATACATGTAAATATACTACTGTGATTGAAGGGATAAAATGGAATTGAGTGGAATAAAGCCAGATAGGTATAAACTGTCAAACAAGTACTAGGAAAGTCTCATAAATATTTTCACTGAACAATTAGAAGAGAAAGCCTTATCCAGGTTGAATAACTCAAAATGTGGAGCAAACATTATCTGGAGGCAACAGGAGAAGGGTAACAAAGTACTCTAAAGAATTTAACTGGGAAGAAGACAGCCAGCCCAAATCCATCACTGTTTTGTTGAGCTGCAAAACCCTATGTGAGAAAAGAGAAAATTCTGCTCAAAGGTATCTGCTTTACATTCCTACAGGAGGTTACTTACCACCTCAACTCCAACTGTGGAGCATTTATTTTACACTACAGAATTATAAACACAGAACACATTCAGCCTAAAAGTTTCAAAACAGAATTGAAAATAACCAGTTTTTTTTCATGCCAGGCAAAGCAGTGAGAAGGCACCTGCAGAGATTGATTATGGTTTACGAAGTGTTCTGGTTGTGAGAATTTGACCATAGCTGCAAAGTGCTGGATGATGTGTCTGTAAAATACTCAGTGTAATTAAAGTATGACAGTTTTGTTTCCTTCTCAATTCAGGCCATTTTTGATCGGAACAGGAAGCATGAACTACCCAGGCTGCAGCTCGAGTGGATTGATAGCATCTGCATGCCATTGTATGAGGTAATTTTTACTTACTGCTCCTGTAGAGTCCAGAGGAGATTGTTCTTGTCTCTCAGAGTTAGCTTTCAGAGCAGCCGTGAAGGCTATTTGAACTCTTGTCTTACTTTGACTTTACCAAAAGTCTCAATTTCATTAAGAAATATTCCGATTCCCTGAATCTGTCTGTAAATATCTGTAATGTCTGTAAATTCCTCTCTAAGGTATAAAAGCTGATAGGGTTTACTATGTTTGAGACAAACTGATTCTCATCATGGTGAGGTATGGAGCACTAGAGGGACAGTCTCAGTAGGTGCTGTCAAACTTGTCCAAATCTGTGTGAAGCAAAAGGAAACTCAAGGCTGGGCCTTTGTACTTTCCTCTGACCCTAAAGGCTTGTCCTAGAGTGCACCTTCCCAAACTGCTACAGGGCATTCTAGGCCAACCTTTAGGGTCTATGATAAAACAATTGTTGTTTAACCTGTGCTGTTTAACTCAGAGTTTATGCTTTTAATTGTGCTTCTGCACAGACTGCCTGGGTGCTTGGCACATGGTGTGTAAATGCCCAAGTGCTCCTCTATTTAAGGCTAGAGATAACCACAGAACCATTAAGGTTGGAAAAGACCTCTAAGATCATCGAGTCCAGCCATTAATGTGGCACTGCCAGGTCCACACTAAACCATATCCCTAAGCAGAACATCTACAGGTTTACTGAACATTTCAGGTACAGTGATTCCAGCACTTCCCTGGGCAGCCTGTTCCAATGCTTGACCACCATTTCACAAAGAACTTTTTCCTATCAGAACAATGCTTCTGCCTTTTTAGATTAAACAGCTCCAGGATATGACTGAAACAACACAGACTGCCTTATGCCAGCAAGTATGACTGGCCAGTGATACTTGAGAAAACAGGAGGATGTTTTCATTCAGCATCTTTGGGGAACTGCAGCAAGTTCTGCCTGTTCCCACTGCACCCTAAACTGCCCAAGACCTCAAAGCAATGAACGGGTCAGTGATGATACACAGCAATAACAGCTCCCATGTTAACATCAAAATTATCAACTTGTGCCTGAATGTAGCTTCCCTACCCACAAATAAAAATGGATTCGCAGTTCCTTTCATTTTATAGACCAGATATAAAACCAATATCATACAATAAGGACACAAGAAGGCCCATAAGAAGGACAATGTGCCCTCTCCCCTCCATAACTTGTGGCATATGAGGCTGCCACCATGGAAATAATGAAATTACTACCCAGCAGCAATGGCAATTCGTGTTGTGACACAGAGAACAGACACTTGTGTAAGCAACAAGCCAGGCTGCTGCTTTGCCAAGAGATCCTGTCCCTTTCTAAGGCCAATCTTTGTCCTGACAAAATAAACTACAGCTACCATCTTCAAACAATTAAGGCAAAGCAAGCAGGGAAGAAGAATACACACCTATATTGTTTAAAAGACCAAGAACATTTTAGACAATGTGGGGGAGGGGTGATGGACACTGATCTGGGACAGACACTCTTTAAAAATAATGTTCCTTTCAATAAAATAGCTCATATTGCACTAGAATGCATATTATACCAGAATTCATTATTTCTAATGGCATCTGTAATCCAAAAATGTACAGTAAAGCAGGAAGAGCTGATAATCAGCCCATCCTCTGCACGAGAAAACTACATCTGAGCACTAAAGCTCTGGTTAGTTAGCTCCATCTTAGCAGGAGATCTCTGGGGAATATATTCACATCTGATTTCCCTGCTTTCCACTGTGTTTGCATCATGCTGTGCAGCCATTAGCCTGCTGCTCAACAACTTCAAAAAGAGACACCATCAAACCTGGAAGTCATAGCAGCACCAGCCTTAGGGGTAAACAGAAAACTTCATGCCATAGTATCACACTGCAGGAGATTCTCTCTTCAGTGTGGAGCCAAGTTTTAATTTTCATATCCAGCTTAATCAAACTTCAACACACATATCCCGTCAGCAGAATATTCAGGCACTGTAAATCCACTGTTTAGGGCTGGCTGAACATTACAGCTCTGGCCATATCCTAGATTTTGGGTTGGCATATTTTTACATTCTTTGAAATTCTTGCCATTATAATTGAGGGAACTGCTTGTGGGGAGAGAACAGGTTATATCACTACAAATACAATATAAAGAGATGGAGTGGCAGCTCATAAATCAGGAAAATATTAACGGTACTATAGCTCACTACTACAGTACTTAGAAAAACCATGCTTGAAAAAATCCACAAACATTTGGTGCTTATTTTTCTACCAAAATTGAAACATTAAGCCATAGAGAACAAAATCAAGGCTTTTCTATTTATTTTTTTCCACACTAGTGATTAGAAATCCTGAATCCGTGTGGGATTCTATAGCATCCAGATCCCGAAAGGGAATGCTGTGGGGAATGCACCAGTTCCTACCAATGCAGTTGCTAGAGCAGGACCTCATGCTGTGCTCTGTGTTATTTCACACACACACAGCAGAGATCCCAGCAACCACTGAATACTGGCAATTCTCATTAAAGTGAGATCAGCAGAGCTCCCTGAAGTTCTTTGCTCAGAGTAACTCCCAAGAGCAGGCTATTCCTGGCAGCTGAGGGCGTCTGAAGTATGCAATACTGAAGGAACTTCACAGCCCAAACTTCCAGGGGTGGTCTGATACCATCCCCGTGCCTCTCACAGTACCAGAACAAGCTGCATCCTCCCTGCAGTCCAAGCTAATGAACTAGGCTACACCAGAGTGCCTGTGAGGAGTGGTTCATACTTAAAACAATATATAAACTTTGCAGTACATTTTAGTTATGGCTTTTCTAGTCTTATCATTTTCCTCAGGTCTGAAACCTCCTTTGTGGAGATTTGGCTCTATCTGCTCTGCTTTCTGCATTTCCTTAAGATAGCTCAAGACAACTCACTTGGAGGTGCAGCAGTTCTCCCAAGTAAATGGTACTGAAGTCTCCTTTTCTGGGGAACATGGATCACATTCCTCTGCTTACCTGGCTAGGACTGTCCCTGAGTTTGCCCCCTTTTTGTGAGAGGGTTACAAGTGACTAGCAAATCACCAAGATCTATGCAACTTTCACTAGCAGTCCTGTCTGACTGCCCCTTGGAATGCCCATCCCACCCAGAAGAAAGAAGGTCAGTGATACACAAAATGTACTACACCATGAGCCACAGTAAAGACTGAAGGTAGATATAGATATATATTTTTTAAAATTAGTATCTGGAATTATTCACAGTTTTCCTATATCTAAGTGTCTAAATCAAAAACATTTGTGCTTGCTTTGTAAACCTGATCTTGCTCCTGGCACAAGGTAAGCCACAGCTCTGCTCCCTTGCTCTCTCCCCTATCTGCTGTTCAATGTAGGAATCAAACCACCTCCAATTTCATATCTTAGTAATCAAATCTGTTTCCTTCACACTGTGGATCAAAGGTCTGGGAACATAAAAGCATCCCAATTTTTTGTTCATTGCATTTTATAACACTTAGGATATTATAATTGTATTACTTACTTTTTTTGTTACTGTAGTGATCCCAGATCAGAGTATTTTTATGTAAAGGTGGAACTTTAGTCTTGAGTAGCAGAAAAGCAATCCATTTACACTGAATTTAAGATTTTAGGGGCTTTAGTTACACTTTACTGCATTACATTTGCTCTTCATTCAAAACTGATAGTAAGGAAAGCATTTATCAGTAGAGATGAGAAACAAGCTTATTAGAATAATAATTTCTAAAGAAAAATGCACTTTTTTGAAATTGTAGAGCATTTCAAACTAAGTAATGTAGCTTCATTTTGTTAGAATATCCTATAAAGAGGAAGTACATGCAATTAAAGCAGAAAATTTGAAGCATCCCACTGAAAATAAAACACTATGGCTTTACTGACAGCTGTGTTCACACAGAGAAATTATTCTGTACCTATTTATAAATGGTTGTGTAACAGGAAACAGAATTTTGATCATTAAGACAAAATCACCCCTCTGACCCTCCAGTAAAGAGATGCTAAGAGTTTCAACACTAACAGATTTCTCTTCTGGACTCTGTCATTCATGTCTTCCTAAGACAGGATCAGTCACAGATTTTTTCCCAACTCAGATAAGATTTCTCTGTGGGGAGCACACAGAGTGGCAGAGTGAAGATCTTATTCTTTTAAATCATTATATTTCTCACAAACAACATCAAAGCTTCAGTGATTCACATCAAACAAAAGATGCTAACAGAAACCCAGCTCTGTTCAGGGCATTGTTAGGCAGAGACAGTAGCACTGTGAATAGCAGGGCCAAAGGCCATGCACTCTGCTTCTGGGCAGATAAATACATAGTCAGGTAGTCAGTGACAATGACAGCAGCTATTTAAATTTAAGGGAGATGTCTTTGTGGAAGATAAAGCAGCTCATGGCTTTTACAACTTATGCGTGCCTGAGATTGCCCTGCTCACCTCTACCTTGGTGCTCCCTTGAACTGCTCCATTTTAGTGCTATTTTTAGAGCTATTCAAGATTTTCTTGGGTATTGAGAACCTCGAGCATATAATAGAATCTACAGAATTGAATTTGCATTACTCCATCCAGGATTCTGGGGGGAACCTGGGAAAAGTAGAAACATTCAGCCTAGCAAGTACTTTAAATGTTTTGAATGAAATGTGGAGGAACAGATTCCTTCTTTATCACACTGTTTGAAGGACTTAGAAAGAAATTCAATCGCTCTGTCTGCAACTCCAGGAGCTCTGATATGCCTGCCTTCCTATAGAAGATAATGTCAGGCCTTGTAATTAAATCTATTTGTTGTCTATGATAATGTAGCTGCAAAAGCATATATTCTGCTTGTAAACTTAGATTAAATGCACAGGGTGGTATAAATGGTAGAGCCTCTATGAAGCACACTAAAAATGCACAGAAGTCTTTAACAGTCATGGCTTTCTGTGTTTTAACTTCTCTCCTTCAAGAGTTGACTTTGACACTTGAATTAGAAGTACATACACACTGTGATTTTTCTTTTTTCCAAGGTATATACTCTACTTGAAA